ACCCAAAATTTCACCATAAACCCCCACCCATAGACCATCCTCCCAGTGCCACCACCACCACCTGCCCAGCACAGCCCCAGCTCTTCCTGGTGCATGGGTAGAGATGAGGGATGAGCCAGGGCTGCACCGGGCAGGCAGCGGCGCTGCTGAGAAGGGGGTTGGGCAGGGCTAGGGAAAAATTTGGGGTGGCTGCAGACCTCCCTGTAGGCCCCCTCCCAGCATCGCCGCCTCCCACCCCGCTGAGACCAGCGCAGGCCCAGCTCCAACCCACAGCTGCAGCCCGCCCGCCCCACCCTGTGCAGATCTGGGGGGCACACAGCCCCCATCCCCCCGGATGAGCTGCGGCTCTGTTCTGCCCCCTGCCCTGCCCTGGCTGGGTAGCACCTGCCCCGGCTGGGTAGCACCTGCCCCAGCCCCTGCCCTACTCCCTCCCTCATCATGGGGGCCTTGATCTGCCTCCCCACACCCCTTCCCTCCCCCCTCCCCTTCCACCAAAACAGACTTACCAGCTGCACATAGCTCTCCAAGCTGCCGGACTGTGCTCCTCGCTGCCTATGTGCTGTGCTGTGGCTGCACGGGCGTTTATCAGCAAAATTATTGGCCGCATCGGGCCAATTTCTGATACAGCCAATTTTCTTTATATCAATGCCGATTCTATATCGGACCAATGTATTGGTGCACCTCTGACAAAAGTCAATTTTCAAAACTCCTTCAGATGGCTCTTCTATTAGTAAGTTAGGGCTTTGGCTCAGTTCAGATGGAGCGGACAAATCGAATAACCCTGAAAATTTAACTAAAATATGCCATATGACAAAATGTCAGATGTAACATAACTTCTCTGCTGGATCTTCTATCAGGTCACATTAGCTGTCACAAGAAGTTTGAACTACAAGAATTATACAGGAACAGTAGCAGTTTGCAACATGTTGCACCATAGACATCAAATATGTAGCATCCTTTTTACTGAACTGACAAAAAATTCTATAAATTGGTATAATCTTTTTCTTTTCTGGATAAAAAAAGCACAACAAAGTAACTTCTTATATGCAATCTGTCATAAAATGGTTAACAGTGAACTGTACCCTTTGGCTTACCCTAGAAGCCAGAATTCTCAGACTTGGTGCCAGCTCTCTTTCATACATATTTCTCAGTTCATTCAAGTTGAAAGGTGCTTCCTACCTTCTGAAATATCATACTCCTGTTCAGGAGCAAATGGGTATAGTTTCTCCTCAATTAACACAAAACATATGGAAAGTGGATTACACTACAACTTTTCAAAGATCTTTTTTTTAACTTCCAATAGCAATAATTCCAATATTGTCCCCAGTGCAGTCCTTGTTTAGTTAAAGTATCCTATGAATGTCACAAAAATGAGACTTAAAGGAATGAGTTCTTTGTAGTGTTAACATTTCATTGGATTTACAGGAGTAGGTACAGTCTGTCATGGTTCAGGGGCTCAACATTTGCTGAGTGGCACTCAGAAGTAAGCCCTCAAAACTAACCCTTCCAATCCCAACATTACCTTATGTATTGCACACAGTAACACCAGATGTAATGGTTAGGTATGTGACAAGCTGAGAATCTGAAACAGAAAGCTCAAATGAGCTTGTTACCCAGTCCTTCCAATTTATTTGTTCCACCTAGCTGTTATGTTTTGCCTTAAAGTCTAATTGTAAACACTTTGGGGTGGAAAATACTTTTTCAACATTCTGTTTGTGCAGTAGCATAAAAAACTGATGAGGTGATATAGGCTTCTAAGCACTACTGAAATTTAGATCAGTAATAATAACAATGACACTAATATATACATTTTAAACCAACTTAAAAAGATTAAAACCAAAGGATATGTAGCAGTGAGGTTACATACTTTTAACTTATATAAATTCTTTTTTTAATAGCACTGAGTTACTGAAAGTTAGTGGGTGCATCTACATGTGCATTTTACTGAAGAGCTGACTAATTAACTCTATAATAAAGCATCACTGTCTGCAAATGTGCTGGTATTTGGGAAAGTAAATTGACTCCTCTGCAGTATAGTACATTATGGTGGGGTAATTATGTGCACTGAAACACACATGTAGATGGTAGAAAAGGCTGGCCAGGGCATGAGAGTGCTAAAGTGCAGGGGCTGTCTGCCACCTAGCCCTGCACTTTAGCACTCTTGTGCCCCAGCCTGCCCCTTTGCTGCCCAATGCTGATACCGGGAGCACGAGGCTGACTCCCCAAGCCCCTGCAAGCCCAGGGGCTGCTCTGCCCCAGCTCAAACAGAGCCAGAGTTTATTGCTGTGCCTTGCATCCATAGATGCTTCTCAAGCAAATCCTGGGATGTCATTCTCCCCTTGTACTCGGCCTTGGTGAGGCCGCAGCTGGAGTACTGTATCAAGTTTTGGGCCCCACAATTCAAAAAGGATGTGAAGAAGCTTGATAGAGTCCAGAGAAGAGCCATGCACATGATCAGCGGGCAGGAAAACAGACCTTACGACGACAGGCTGAGAGCTATGGGGCTCTTTAGCCTGGAAAAGCTAAAGCTATCCATCAGAACAAGGCCAAAGGTACAATGCTGACTACTATGAGTATTTCCAAAGAAGTCAAATGAGAACGTCACATACTGAGTTTTCACAGGGCTAAGCCTTTACGAAGGACCATAAAAGCTTTGGGTTAAGGAGGCACGTACAAACTTGCTTCAACTTGCTCTGTTACACAGCTTGACAGTAACAGATAGCCAGTTGCATTAGTGTCAATGTTCAGATAAATTTCTTTCAATATCTGTCACAAAGTCACTGTATCGGCATGCCAGCTGTATTATCGGTCACTACGTAGTTGATCATACTTAACATCCTCGAGTTCAGAAAATCCTAACAAGTATCAGACTGCAGCTATTACATAGAGCTACCAAATCACCTAGAAGATTTTGACTTCAAGCTGCTAAACAGCATTCATTCAGAAAGTGGCTGACTCCCATCTTCTCCTTCTCACAAATACATTAAGTTGCCTCAATCTGGAGCCAAAGTTTGTTTTCAAACTCTTAACAGGATCACTGAAAGAAAGGAGAAGAAATACTATAAACGAGTTTCTGGACTGCTTCCTGAGTAGCATATTCTCTTAGCTAGTGCTTTGGAAGCAAGCCAAAAATGGGAAGTGTTCTTGCAAATGAACACAGGGCTATACTCAAGTACAAGTTATCAATTAACTCCTTTGTCAACATCACTGTGGCTAGAAATTAAGAAGCCTGTTTATTAAACAATTTACTTGAATTCCAATTACTAAACTGATTTTTTCCCTTGCTTCTATTTTTCTGGATACTCTACCCCCTTTACTGGAAGTCAGAAAAAATTACTATTATAATTACAGACCTATTCATACTTCGTATAATCAAAAGTGAGTTATCTAGGATGCTAAAAAACAAGTCAGAAAACCTTTTGAAGTATCAGAATGTGCAATGATGGGAACAGAGTGATTAATATTTTTAACTGTGCCTAGACACAGTGTATTGAACTAATCTGTGTGGGCAGGTTTTCACATTACAATTTTAATGAGATCACCCTCCGCAATGAGGAAACTCTCTGCACCCTCCAACTTTCCCACTCCCTTCCACCCAATGCTGAAAATGGGTAAAGTGTTGGAAAGGAAAGATCAAATCCACTCGCTTCAAATAGTACCAAATTTTCTACTATAAGCTGCTACAGAAGGTCATCATATGCATTTCCTTATACCAGTAATTGAAGTTACACTATGGGATGCTTTTTCTTCTCTTCCTGTCAGCATAACCCAAAAGTAGGCTTTTTCTTGGTTCTTATATAGGCACAACCCTCATTTAAAAATTCAGTGATAATATGGTTTCGCCTTCTACCAATCATATTTTTTTTACTTGAATTACTCCCTTGATTTGGGTTTTAAATACATATAATGATTTCATTTTCAAAGTTTTCTCACTTTCACATTTATTTTTGTAACTTTTTTTCTGTGGTGCTACAAACACACACGCACATTTCTACCATATGCTAAAAGAGAAAAAAAAAACCAAACTCAGATGATAAATCAGCTTCCAGTAGAGAAAGTATAACTCACCAGGCAAAATAACCGGTGTTCTCAGATCTCTATAGTAAACAAGAACATCCAGATTTGATCACCAATATTCACTCAAAAAGGTTCCTTCTTACAACTCCTTTAAATGATGGGGGCTATTTGTGTAAGAGGAAAGTACTATTCTATTTATTAGGAGTAATTGTGACAGATTCTGTTAAAAAAGAAATTAAAAAAGAGATCTCCATGTTGTGGATTTCTGAATAATTTAACTAGACCAGTGTAATGTATAGACAACTCAAAGGTCCTATTGTTAAGGTCTTGGTTTGAGCAACTTTATACAGAAAAAGTATTGACTGAAAAATGCTCTGGCTATGGCATTTTGATGCATTACGCTTGCAAGAAACATCCAGAATAAAGCTATTACATTTGTATTACAATAATATGAAAAGTCAGAACTTTATAATGTAATTTGGTTCAAACGTATGATTCATCTCAAATGCCTTATCTCTTGGTTTTATTTTTCTTATAACTTTTCATCACAAATCATATAAAGTAACAAACTGCATAGGTAATTCTCTCACACAAGAATTCTAATATGGTCTTCTGCACAAAATACAATCTCAGGAGTACTATGAAGCACTATGGGGAATGTGATCTTTAACCTGTTTTTTTTGTAAAATGTAATTCCTACAACTGTATTTACATACACACAACTCCTCCATGGACATTAAATGTTGTACAGTCAATTGCCTATATAGTTTATATATGAGAACACAATATGCTACTGTTGTCTTCTATCCTTGAAAGGAAAGGAGATATTTACTGATGTAAATTACCCAATGTCGGATTTATAGATGCAGATGGTCAAAGCACTAGAATGAGATGAACAATTTTTCGTGCAAAAATAATAAAAATGAGACTGAAAAACATACTCTATAATGTAGGAGATTATAAAAATGTGTGTATTTACTCACGTTCACATGTGTCTCCTTTTTGCTGGTACCCAGCCTTGCAGATACACTTTCCAATAGGCACTAACCATTCTCCTTCTGCACTACAGTGCATCTTAGGAGAATTCTCAGCTTCCTCTTCAGCGCTGCTGACACAAGTTCCTCGAACCTCAACTAGAGAGGAAAACTCTGAACCAGTCACTGTATCAGGAAAAATAGCTAAATTCTCAATAATGGACCAGCATTTCTTGTAATAGACTTTGACAGAAACCAAAGCAATGCAGGCCCCTACATCCTGAAATGCAAGATAGAATCCTTTTTTGGACAAAGGTCCAATCTCTCTCACTTCTGTGTTAAGTTTCATTTTTCTCTCCCCAAGGTCACCTTGGGTGAAACTTTCATCTGCTGCAATAGTGTCTATTTTTACATATAGATTTTCTCGGATATTCCTGCCAGTGTCGTAGTCTGTTTCATAATAATACAAGTTAAAAGTCTCTTTACATGTCCCCAGTACTCCAGGAAGACTGTTACAATCCCTCAAAGTGAATTTTAGTTCTACAAAAATCCTTTGCGCATTGCCTTTTGCAATCCAGTTAGTCCGAAGCCAGTTGTTTTGATTAGGTTCCATGACCTGGCATACCTGGTATGTTCGTATTGGAGTATAGTTTTCATCCAGTCCACTAATTTCTTCCCACTAAAGTAATAAGAAATAGTGATATAAAGTTAACATGTTAACACATACAAAAAAAATCAACACATTTTAAAATATTCTGCCACATAGATCTGGCCTTCTTTCTTATTTTAACAGTGAAGCATCATGAAACAAAGTATTGTTTAAATGGGTCTTTTTCCCTTCAAAATGAGAGGCAAATGGATTTTAGTGGCTCTCTATTTTTGTTTCCTTGTCATGTAACAAGTACACTTCAAAAATATTTTTCATATACTATAACAGTTTACTGTTATATTACAAATTTTAGAAAACGTCCATAAAGTAAACCAACACATTGATTAATGGTTGGAATTGATAATACATTCTACAGAATCATTGAAAACTCTACATGTGTAAAGTCTAAAGAAGCAGGATGAAACATAAATCTAAAAACAGGAATGTCTCTTAGAAACTCTGAGCTCCTAATACTGTAGTACTTGAATACCAAATACACAGGCAGAGAGAGTACACAAGACAAACAAAACCAAGCCTTTAATCCTTATTTATAATTGACTATGAATTTATGATCTTTGCACCTTAATTACTCCACTTGCAGTCCTCATGATGTTTCACCAAGAAAATGGCATTTTGAAAAAATATATATATATACATATATACATAACAAAGACAAAAAGACAAGCATTCCATTTGTATCATTTTATTTCTTTAGGAACACTTCTAGTCTGTTTTACAATCCACAGACCTGAACCCCGAATCCCTTGTTCACATGAATACTGCTGCTGACCATTGTCTAACTGATTTAATATCATTTCATTCAGCCGACTCCACGCAGTGAGTGGGGTTACATATCTGAGTCAGGACTAGTCACAGGAGTAAGACCTTACATGTTCAAGGCCTATTTTCTTTCTTTTTTTGGTTCCTCTGTTGCTATGGTATCTAGGTGCCAAAGCAGTAAATGTAGAGTAGTTCTGCCTTTAACAGAGCTAAGTACAAATGCCAGGGACAGCGTCAACCTCAAAACTTCCACTGCCATCAGCTGGGCTAGGATTGGCATATTTGCACTGCTGTAAACTAGAAGCAGTATCTGGCCCTTACAGTAATGATTAATTTCAAGCAATTCCCAATGACTAGCAGAGGTTGCAACTTTGATACTACTGGAATCTTTTTTAAGAGTTATAAGGATAACACTTGATTTTATTTATCTAAAGGCAAAGGCAACTATGGCTCAAACCTGCAAAGCTTTTAACACTCTGGCTCCCCATTCAACAAAGTATTTAAGCACATGCCTAATATCAAGGATACTACTCTTGCGCTTAACATTAACCATATGATTAAATACCTTATGGAAATCAGTTAAAGCAGTTAGTACCCTGCAGGATCAGGCTCCTACTGATTATTGCCTACACTGATATTCAGGCAGGAAAAGCAAACACTAAGACATTCGTTTTGCCAAACGATAACCTATATAGTATACAGTGCTTCACAAGCCTACTTGACAACAAATTAGGCCATTTTAATTTTGGTCTATTGCTCCAAGGTGCGGGGGGAAAGCAGATACCAAAGAAATGATGCTGGAAGTTATTACTGCAACATATATTACAGTCAGAAATGATTAAATGAACAGAAGCTGCAAATACTGAAATGTATTCTAAAGGAGTTCATTTCATGTAAGTGTGGTATGGATGGTATTATGCATACATGATATTAACTTATTTCAAGATATTATTAAATGTTAACAGAACTGATGTCATGCTGAAATCTAAAATTATCTTAAAAAGAAAAAATCTATCGTCATATATTTATGATATATGAACTAGTGATACCTGTTTCTCCCCTGTAGAGAGAAGTGTTATGACAGAATGGGGGAAATAAATAAATTAATTAATTAATTAAATAAAAGACAGAAAAGGACGGCCTTGATTGGGGCTTTTGGCATGACAGTCATACAAGAAAAAGAATAACAAAAAGACATGGGATTTTGAGCTTTCTTGATCTTATTCTCAGTTAAACAGTGACTGTTATATATGTATCTCGTGTAAGCAGTTTTCCCACTATTAAACCAAATCCTGCCACCAGAAACCATAAAGTTACAAAAGTGTATCGCATTTAAAGTCAATCGAGTTACTCTAGTGTAACCAAGAGCAGAATCTGACCTATTAGATTCTAGATCCAACTGTATTCTCTCCTCCCTTTACCCTAAAACCAAACTGATCATAAACAAATAAAACCCTACCCTACACAGAGATTTCTATAATTATAATACAAAACAGAAGAACCAGAAATTCCATGGAGTTTGTTAAGAGCGTGCTACACCAACCAAATTAATATTGGAGACACTCAAACGCTAGTCATGGATACCAGTACAAAATCCTAAAATAATATAGGTATCTCTTGTCTGAAAAAATAAATTCCTATAAAAATCATATCTGAGGCTAACACTCTACATCTACTCTTCCGCATCTTTCAAAAACCATGGGGGAAATAACAGAAACGTAGTTTCTATGCAATTATTGTTATGTTTATATGAAAAATGTCAGTAGTCACACCCATAGAAATCAAGTTCTATGCAGCAGTCAGCCCTCTGCCAGGGTGCAAACATCTTTTGTTTTATAACTTGTATCTATCGATATTTTAGGGTATGGTTGTATTTGTTGATTCTCAAATATATTTGAGAATATATACCTCCTTGAATAATCGAAAAATGATCTGAGCCCTATATTTTACTTTTTTCTCACTTAATTTTACTAAATTATCTTTTGATTTTGCTTAATTCATATTGTATATGGGTGAAAAAACAAGCAGCTCTCTTTCACTGACGTATTACATTACCAATATTATATATACTAATATACTAAAATATGTCTAGTGCACAGATTTGTATACGAAATATATAATTTAACCACCAAGGATGATATACTGCAAGTAGTCGTGATGCATTTTTCTTGAATTCTTTCTTTCATTTGTGCTTTTTCTTGATTTTTTTTCCTTGAAAGGCAAAAAATTAAACGCAGATAAATTTAGAAAAATGGGGTTGTATTTTCTGTTCCAAAAACTTATTAAATTGACCTTACTATTATTTTAGAAAGAACTACTTTTTAGTCAACCCTGCTGACCATAATTCAGATGTTATTTGGACTCTCAAGTTTCCTTTGAAATTGTATTTCCAACTTTATTAACTAACATTTTTGCCATTTGTAGAATATTAGTCAACTTCCGTCATTAAGTATGTTGATTTAAGGTTGTGTATTTATCTCTATGCTACTACGGCAATTCCTTTCTCACTAATCTTTCAGATACCGCTATTAAAAGGTTTCAGCCAATGCAAAATGCTAATGCCAAAGTTATTACCCATCATAAGCATTCAGCTCATATTACATACTTTCAAAAGTCTTTAGACTTGTTTCCAGTTTTGCCTATATTGATTTTACGATCTTACTTTTAAACTAAAACACTTACAGATTTTCATTCTTCTTATTTAAAGGATTTGTTACACTTTTATATCCCCACTCACACTTCACGCTCCTCTAGCTCCAGATTTCTTAATACGCTGAAGATTAAGGGCCTGATCCCAAAAGTTCTTATTCATGCAAGTAGTCCCGTTGAATTCAGTGAGACTGCCTGCATGTGCTCTAACTACCAAGTTGCAATGCAAACACAATAAGGTAGATTCTCTTTTCTTGAAATATTCTTCCTAAAGAAATGAAAAATGTGTTTTTCCCCCCACAACTGCTAAATAAGGGTGGAAGCTAGTTATTTTACAACTTCATAATATTATAGATGGTAACTAAGACAGCACTGAACGCGCTAAGTTTATCACTTTTTTAAGGATGTGTTTGTACACTGATGTGTTTTCACGGAGAGTCTCAGAATGAGCCTAGTGTAAAAGTAACTGTGTAGATACCTGAGGTAAGCTTTACCATTAAAATTTGCATGGAGATCCAAACTTCAAAAATTCTCAATATCTGGGTATGTTTTTGGTTCAGACTCATCTTCAATATAAATGTTTACATTTCAGAGCCCTTCAACCTACACTTTTGAATTACAACAAATATGTTGTACATAAGTTACCAACAAAAATAATGTTTTCTCAGGCATTTTCCACAAACAAATATCTGCTGCCTTCAATACTTATAAACAACAAGAAGGCAAAAAAAAGAGATGTTTAAACTACTTTGTCATAAATAAATAAAGACTTCTGGTTTAGCAAAAAAGGATTTACAATATACAGAACTGTAAAAAGCTAAAATGGTTTTAGGTGAAGTAATGAAAAGAGGTTCCCTTGTAATTAGCTCTTATATGTAGTAGATACTGTAACTTGAGGCATGCCTCTTTTCAGAGTAAAACCTGAACAAATGTAAATATTGGCTACAACTGCTGAGGGAAATTTGGGGGAATACCAGATACTTTAAAGCAGATTGAAAACTTGCCTACGTGAAATAATTAGTAGTGTTTTTTATGAGTTTTTTGGACTACTTACCCCATTAGGAGGAGAGGAAATCCATTCCAACTCTGTCTGTTGTGCTTTAGAGTCCAGTAATATTACTGCAAGAGAAAAAGTTTTCCACTATGTATTAAATAAAGAATTTAGGAATAAAAAAGTAAGAGCCTAAATAAAAACTTTGTGGTAAACTAAATTAGATTCCTTCCCCTCAGTGAAAATTATTTATTTCTTCATTCAATAAAATGTTTCTATGTTTATCACTGTATATATGCTTGTCACTATTTTTATTCAAAACATATATAAGAGATGATATCCATCTGTCTTAAGTAAACAGAAATACGTAATCTTAACATTTGTACGTATCCCTGTCTAGATGGTTATGCTTATCTTATTACCAAAAAGGTCATACAGATTTTAAGGTTTAATTACATGGAGCCATATTTCTGGTATGCCTTTGTCCTATGAAGTTCAATTCCCATATACCTGTAATTAAAAGCAAGATTTAAAAAAACAGTATCATTCAACAAAATTATACCATTAGTTCAAATCGATACCGACACATTTGACCCTATAATCTACTGCAAGTCCTACTCTGAAGTCAATTCTAGTTTTGAATATTCAAAAGAAAATATCATAATATTGATTAATCTATTAATTTGAAACACTTAATAGATGATAAACAGGATTCTACAAAATAAGGCTTTCATTTGTATAGCAATGTCTATTTTCAAGAGACAATATATACATGCTAATTAAATATAATGAATTCTATTGAAAGATTTGGTTCCATATTTTAATATGTACATACATATCCAATTGACTTCCTGTAGGAAATTCTCAGTTGTCATACAGAGCTCTGTTATACAGAAGTTATTTACTGGTAGAACAAATTAATCCACATTTTCCTGAAACTTACTCCAATACACAAATTGTTTAGTAAAAATATATAATGTCCACTTTCTTAAATATTGGATGAAATTAGATTGATGTTTTGTTAAATACAACCTTGTGCTTGTTTTCAATTATGAACATCATCCTTATTTAAAACATACAATTGTATACATTTCCAGAAAATTTCTAAATGTCACTTAGGCATTTAACCTTGACATTTCTAAACTACTGCTTGAAATATCTTGTTAAATTGCAATTAACAAATAATATTCTAGATATATGTTAGGTTTAAACTTATTTTCCTGAAATCTGCATATTCACCAAATAACGAATCAAAACACCACTTTTAAAAGAGAACTACACTCCATTTCCCCCCAAAAATTCAAAATACATTATTTTATTTTTAAGAAGTATTCAGCATTTTATGAACACTACTGTAAAAGAAACGTGTGTTAACAGTTGCATCTCTCTTAGTGTGTCCTTTCAATTCCTTTATCGGATTTCAGTACAATGAACTTTTGTTAAGTCTTTGAGGTGAAGGCTTTACCTCTGATTCAGACCCTACTCTTAAAGATGATCTATTAAAACTTTTAAAATGTATCAGGACACCTTTTTTTCTTGTGAATATAAAGGGTTCATAAGAAAATACTAATGTAAACCATGAGTTGGAAACAAAACTAGAAATGCCATTCCTGTATTTCAACATGACCTAAAGCCAGTCAATCAAGAAGTTTGCTATTCTCTCTTTAATTAGATTAACTTCTTAATTAATTAATTAATCTAGCTATCCAGGGGCTTTAGCTAGTAACACCACCTAGAAAAGAATTGACTGTGTGGGAGTGTGTGTGTGTGTCCACTTGCTAATCAAGGATAAGGCTGATAAGCTGAAAAAATTGGTACCTAGCAAGTTTAACCCTTTCCTCCCCACGCTGCTGCACTATTCCAGGGCCACAAATTTTGGAAATCTGGCAGCATTTGCTGAAAAAGTAGCCGAGGGCAATAAACACAGAAACATCCATTCCAGAAACTAGCGTTGTGCTCCTCAGTGCATCAAGTTAGTGGGAAAGGGCACATAAAGATTTTGTTTTCCTCTGTGCTCTCAGTGGGCAAAACGAAAGTCTTACATTCAAAAGTGCATCTAACTTTGTCCCAGCTATGCAGCGGGTCCAGTAAAAGCCATCACGCTCGCCTCTGACATCATTTCTGGACCATGAGGGCCACAATGTGGCTCTTCCACTACCAAAACGTTATAGGCATTTTTGTACTGCGAAGAAGTGATTGCAGTGGGAAGGAACAGTCTCACATACACACAGAGAGAGAGGCCAGGGTGGAGCTCAGGAGACTTTCCCAAGATGATGGGACCTGGCCAAGCCCACCAGGCCGCCCTGGAGCTCACTGGGCAGAGTTCAGAGGGAGCAGGAGGCGAGTGTCTCAACTTCTGCCCCACTGGCTGCAGGAGCTGAGCAGAGGCCGCAGGTGCTTGCCAGACAAAAGTCAGCCTGGCTGTAACTTCCCTCAAACAGTGTCATGAGGCACCCAGGCAGCCCTCAGCGTCCTATACTTCATCTATAAGCCAGTTTGGTCCAAGATGTTTTCTTTACCTTTCTGCATCATGCAAAGAAAGAGGAAGGAAAGGGAAAGACTGGGGGGATGCTTTCCTCGGCTCTACTCTGCCTCCCCCCCCGAGCCGGCTGCGGGGGGGCACCTCAGGCATGCGGGAGGGGACGCGGGGAGGGAGAAGCCTCTCCCTGTCCCGGGCTCTCCTCGGCGCAGGCGGGGCGAGAGGAGCATGAAGCA